ACCCCGGATTAATAAAGGGACTAAGCCGACAAGAAAATTAATAAATAAATGTATTATGCTAACAATTATGTGAGAAGTTTATGATATAATTTTATTTGGTGTGTATATTTTTAGGTAAAATGATATCGGATATTTTAAAACATACAGTGACTGTTGCAATCATACACTGTAAATATACATTTGTTAAATAAATTAAATTGAATTGCACAAACTCATTGGCCTAATTAAAATAAGTCATTTTGACTTAATTTTATTAAGTATTTTTCCAGAGATGGGTTGCAGCTGGAAGGGTATACGCTGCGTAAAACGTGCTGGATAAGTTGGCGGTTCATTCCGCTGTGGTGACCCCTGATTAATAAAGGGACTAGGCTGAAAAGAAAATTAATGAATGAATGAATGTATTAAGTATTTACTTCTTACAAATATATTTAAAATATTCCTTATTACACATTTACTTAAACCATTTAAGTTTTGTTGATTTAACCCAAGCTGTAATACAAGTAGTTTTACAATTACATTTTTACAGAAATTAATCATTTTTAATTATGTGCAGGGCATCATAGTGGCACAGTGAGTAGCACGACTGCCACACAGCAAGAAGGTGGTTCGAGCCTCAGCTGGGTCAGTTGCCATTTCTGTGTGGAGTTTGCATGTTCTCTCCGTGTTGGCGTGGGTTTCCTCTGGGTGTTCTGGTTACACAAGTTTTACAATGTTTCCCAGAGATGGGTTGCGGCTGGAATGGCATCCACTGCGTAAAACATATGCTGGATAAGTCAGAGAAACATTTCGCTGTGGCGACCCCAGATTAATAAAGGGACCAAGCCGGAAAAAAAAAAAAAAAAATTAATGAATGAATAATGTGCAAAAAAATACACAATAACATTTCATTCTTTTACATTTATTTTCCAGTCTGACATAAATGATGCTGGGAACTAGAAATGTGCATGATGAACTCATTCAGAGTTTTGAACTAAATTTTGATGTAACTTGTCTCTTCAAAGTACAATTAACTTTCATTAAAAATATAAGTCAAATGAACTCATTTCATTTAATGAATTGCATTGCTGAATTTTACATCGTAGCCTTACAGTACATTTTGTATTTCTAGAAAAGGGATTAACAAAAATGAATGTCAAGCAAACACACATGTTGGTTTTACTGTTTGAAGTCAGCGAGTGAGAGATTTGCACGGTAGAGTCTAAAAAAGAACTTGTTATCAACTTGTGATGTGTTGTTAAGGGACTGTGAACAGCTGTGTGTTATAGTGTAACTTCCTTGTGTTCCTTGTCACTCTACACCTCCCCATTGCCTTACACTCATGGGTATGGCAATGTAGATGACTGGAACACAAGCTTGTATGCAGCTGTTTCACATATTGCTGCTTTCCAAACATCATTGTTGCTGAACTCTGACCTGCGAATTTGCGTCTAGTAAAGGCATGCTAGGCAGCATGGTGGTACAGTGGGTAGCACAATCGCCTCACAGCAAGAAAGTCACATGGAAGGTAGTGTGAAGTTTGCAAATTCTCCCAGTGTTTGAGTGGGTTTCCTCAGGGTGCTCCAGTTTCCCCAACAGTCCGTAGTGTATGTGTGTGAATGAGTGTGTATGGGTGTTTCTCAGTGATGGGTTGCAGCTGGAAGGGCATCCGCTGCGTAAAACATGCTGGATAAGTTGGTGGTTCATTCCGCTGTGGCAACCCCTGATTAATAAAGGGACTAAGCCGAAAAGAAAATGAACGAATGAATGAATGAATGAATGAATGAATGAATGAATGAATGAATGAATGATTAAATGAATGAATGAATGAATAAAGCCATGTTACCAACAAGTCTGGGAACAAAACTACCTTACATTAATAAACCAAACCAATCCCATTAGGCATTCAGTTTTGGTTCTAAGCAAAGTGATGTCATATTGTTTAGGCCCCACCAACAGCAAATGACTGACAGTTTTAGTTATGTCAGTTTTTAGTTAAGACAGATTATTTACTTTTAAAGTGATACACCCTAAAACATCTCTATTTCTAGACATGTCGCAAAAAACAAACAAAAAACAAACAAACATTTTCACATATTTTAAATGATCTGTGCGATATTTTGAGCTAAAACTTGACAGAAATATTCTGGGAACACCCAAGACTATTATATCCTGTAAAATGGGGCATAAAAGGTTTAAAACCCCTTTAAAAGGTTTTAAAATGTTTCAAAAACTGGATTAAAATACATTTTGCCAGGTTTCTCTTATTATTCTATTCTAGAGTTATGCTTTGCTAAATGGATTTTTTTTAAGCAGCACCACAGACTAACAAAGTCTGTGGCTTAAATATGTATAAATGTTACAGGTAAAAAGGTGTAAAGACACCTTCTAAAGAAATGTTAAATATAATCTGCAAGTACTTAAATACCAATAAAAAAGTTCTGCAAATTGTGTGATGTGTTATTTTATTATTGCTTGTTCTGTGTGTCAGTAGGCAAAGCCTGCCAACCAGGTAAATTAGAAGCGATTAAGCATCATTTTATAAACATATTACTAGAATTACAGCTCATTAAAGCCATCAGACCAATGCTTCCATGCAGGTAGCAGTGAACCAATTCAATTTGTAAATGTTTCTTAGCCAGGTTTCAAAACAGTGACAATAAGAGGCCACATTTTCTGCAATAAAATTATTTTAATGATTATGGTTATTAACTGATTAATAACAATATATTTATAAAATACAAAGACCCTAACATCTGCAGAATCTAACAAAGAATTTAAGTATATGTGTAGCAACTTGTGTTTGCATTGGTTCATTAAAGCAGTGGTTTCCAAAATGGGGGTCGTTTAGTGATTTCCAAAAATCACATTTATTTTATTAAACTATTAGAATTAATCTACAGATAAAAAACATAGAATTTTATGTACGATATTACATCATCAAGATGGCGCCGAGCATGGCCCCCGTGTTGCGGGCTCCTCAGAAAGGAGGTGCACGCTTTGATGCAGTGGTGTGAGGAAAACTACCTCTCACTCAATATCAGCAAAACCAAGGAGCTGGTGGTGGACTTCAGGAAAGAGAAGAGAGATCACACCCCCATCACAATCAACGGGACACCAGTGGAGAGAGTCAGCACTTTCAAGTTTCTTGGAGTAAACATCGCTGAGGATTTGACAAAGACTGCCCACACAGACACAGTGCTGAGGAAGGCACAACAACGCCTCTTCCTCCTCAAGTGTCTTAGGAGGTCTGGAATGTGCCCCCACATCCTCTTTCTCTTTCTACACCTGCACTGTGGAGAGCATCCTGTCTGGCTGTAACACCACCTGCCTGGTATGGAAATTGTACCAGTAGCAATCGCAAAGGCCTACATAGAATTGTGCGAACTGCATACGTAGTAGGAGGTGAGCTTCCCTCCCTCCAGGACATCTACACTAGGTGGTGCATGAGGAAAGCCAAGAGAATTATCAGCGACTTCAGCCACCCAAGCCATAGATTTTTCTCTCTGCTACCCTCAGGCAGACGGTTCCGCAGCATCCGGTCACGCACTAGCACACAGACTCTTCCGTACCCCTCAATGCACACCATCAATATGTAGCATGCACTGCACTTCAACCAATCCATACTTAAAACAACACTGCCTACAACTATGTGGACACCTATTCATTGTACATATCACTGTCAATTTTACATTGTTCTGTTTTTTTTTTGGGAGTGTGCTGTTGTATTTTGCACTGTTTGTATTTTGCACTGTCTGTATTTTGTACTGTCTGGAGCCAGCACTTAAGCTTTTCACTCATCATAGCACATGTGCTGCTGATGATGTGACAATAAAAGTGATTTAATTTGATTTGATTTATGGCTCCACCCTAAACTTTCTGACACCTTTACAGCATATTAAAAATAAATTCAGGCCAAAACTAAACATAGAGGATTAAATTAAACAATAGAAATGAAAACAACGAATAGACTTGGGCCTATTGATATGTCTGCACGGTTTATATATTTATAACCACCTCAGAGGATATCGGGAATTGCGAGTCACTGGCATTGTTATTTTGGGAGTTGCGAGGTAAAAAGTTAAGGAAACCCTGCATTAAAGCAACCATTTATTTGTGTTTTATTTTCTTTCTTTTAAATAATTTTATTTTATATTCACCCATTATGTAATAACATAATTTAATAAAAGCATGCATGGCCATTTTGGGTTGATGGTTTTTTAATTATCATTTTAACTTTATTGTTATGACTCAACAGTTTTGGAAAATAGACACAAAACACTTTTTAAGTTAGATATTGGGGTGCTGCCCTGAATGGTACCTTTTTGTATCTCTATTTTAAAATTTATGATTGATTCTATGTACAGAATTGAATGTTTTTAACCTTTCAAAGTATAGTTATCGGTTTTGTACAACAGGTGCAAAATTGCACCTCCACTGTCCTTTTTTTCTGACATTAATGGCAACAGGTACAAATTTTTTCTGACACTGAAGGCATAGTTGTTATAAGTAAAGATAAGAAAATGTCTCCAGTTCAATGATTTTATTGTCACTAGACAATGTTGTGAAGCAGTAATTTTCCAATCCCATAGTTTGTGACATTTACAATACAATACCACTTGCTGGATTTGTGATGGTCAGACTGAGTGAGCATTGAATCATTTTCAATAAAGATAATAATACATCTATATTTGCTTCTCCTCCTAATTCCACTCTATACTGCCTTCTAAAAGTATTTTCTGACAGGGTCTTATTATGTTATTTATCTGGAATGGAGAGTGGACTCTAACACAATCATTACAGTAAAGGAGTTTTATTTTGATGATAATTATCTACGATGAAAATTGCAGCAGATGTAATTGGGCACTATCAACGATGCCAAAAAATAATATTTAAGGCAAATATAAACATTACATATATTTAACATCACATTTTTATCTGAGTGAAATTTTTAATGATCAATTACTGCAGTTTGAATAATAATAAAAAAAAAGCATCTATAGCACACTAAAAAAAGCTCTTACCTGTGATAATGTTGTCCACTAATGTTGTTGGCATGCAGAAGATGCCAACCAGCAGGTCACTGATGGCCAGGTTAAGAATAAAGAGATTAGTGACTGTACGCATGTTCTTGCTCCTTAACACAATGAAGCACACCACTCCGTTGCCCATCATGCACACGATAAAGATGAGGAGGTAGGACACAATGAAGATAGCGGACACAAAGGGCTCGTGTAGATAGAAGTCCACATAGGTAATATTTGTATAATAATTTGGACGAAAGGTGGAACGGTTCACTGAGATGTTTTGGCCATTCTCCAAAGGGGAGTAAAGTGGAGGTGACCCAGTGGAGTTGAGATCCAGGAGTGTCACTGCCATTTTCCTGAGGAAAGAGAGAAAAGAAATGCTCTATTTTAATGATCTAGGTGCAAAGTCTAAAGTGCATTGCGCAAAAGCATTGAGGGTGTGTCCAAAACCACTTTTGCTATTTTAAAGATGGAAAAATATGCATGGCGCATTTGCTATTTACATGGTGGAATTTGTTAGTGGAAAATGCTTGACTAGCGAGAAAACAGTTTAACAGAGCATCTGCAGAACGAAGATAAAGAACGAGCCTCCTCCATTCACTTTCTTTGTTTTCTTTTTATTTTACTTTTACTCTTTACTTTACTCCTTTACTTTGGTGGAGTAAGGAAACAGTGTTGCACTCACTCCACTGAAGACATCCATCAGCCTACATATTTAATTTTGTTTGTTAAGCACAAAGATTTGTTGCAAAACTATTTCTAATTTTAGCTCTAATTTCCAGCAAATGAATAAATGAACATAATAACGGAGTGTGGTGAAAAAGTTATATCCAAGCACACGTCCCATTATTATGCCTCATATGGGGATGCATATGTCTTAGAAACCCAACAGGATGACAAATCTAAACTTGTTTTTATTAAAACTAATATAAATATGCATATAAGAAATAATAATGCTAATAATAATAATAACATTATACAAATGCAAATTGTCATGAATTAACTGAAACCCCTTCCCCACACTACCTAACGCCCTCAAAACCCCCTTGAGGTGAAGAAGGGGTGGAAGCAGTGGTTTTTATATTTGTGTAGAAAATACTAATTTTTGTAACAATTTTAATCCTTTAATTTTTTCATATGTAAAGATATTTGTGCATTGCTGTACATCCTGTGTGTATTAAGCTATGTAAAAGCGTTTTTGACCAGCACTTCTAACGTGCTCTGCACTGGCCTTTAAACCAGTTTTTGGTTGGTCAACGGCGCAATCTATTTCAGTTCTACTTCAATGAGCCAACAATGCGCCTTAACACACCTCCTTTATAGTCTGGCACACCCAGTCCACAAAGTGGTGCAAATGGATTTGCTATTTAAGCAACGTAGCACAAAACATGAAAATTAGGGTTGCACTGGTCTGAAAACAGCATCAAATCGTGCCAAACACGTCTTGTCCCTTTTTGCGCTGAGTGTATGATAGGGCGCTGAGTGTTTCTTGGAGTGAAATATAAATGTGACTTGTCAACAGTTAGATGTTCGATTATGGTTTAATCACAGGCTATTTTAAAGGGACAGTACACCCAAATATTCCCTTTATTCTACATTTACTTAACCTCATATTGTCTTATACCTGCATGAGTTGCTGTCTTTATTTAAATAATAATAAAAAAAAAAATTCAAAGATTTTTTTAAAAATCCTTTTTTAACTGACAGTTGAGAGGCTTTGACTTCCTCAATGGCTACTAAAACTATACTGTGGAAGTCACTGACTCCCACTAACTGGTAACCAGGATTTTTCTCATCTTTAAAATCTGAAAAAGAGACTGATCCAAATACAAACTACAGATAAAAAGTGGAGGCTGAGTAAACAATTATCCCTGTCAACTGTTTCAACTATTACCTCAAATCCAAATACTTTTCATTAAAAAAATGGTAACACTTTACAATAACAGTATGTGAACACTGATGCATTAATATATAATCCAAACATTACTTTATTATAATATAATGATGATTTATAGGGCTATTTATATTTACGCTTAAGCTAAGATGTACAATTTGAGGTACAATTACATCATGACTTTACTTGGAGGGGCACATCATCCTTGACTATCCATGAACTCCTCTGTTTTAACTGTTGATGTTGACAGAACACTTTTCTATTGTGTAAACACACTAGATGGACATGCATAAGGAGTTCATAGGTAGTTAAGAATGGGTTAATGATGATGTGCTCCTTTGAGTAAAGTCATTACAGTAGTTATAAATAAACATATGAGTTCATGATGGTTAAATTAAGCATAAACTAATGTGGTAATTAATACATTAAATGACAAATAGTCATGTACTTACAAGTAATCAAGGTATAGCTTTTATTCCCACATGAACTTAAGTGACTCGTGTTTTAGCTAAAGTTCATGATTAGTGCATACATCATCATTCTCATCATTAGTCCATGATAAAGTAATGTTTATTTTACACATTAATACATCAGTATTCATGTACTGCTATTGACGAAGTGCAACCAAAAAAAAAAATCAAACCTACAAACCAGCAAAAAAAGTGGCCAGTAGCTTGATTTTTTTAGAAAATGGTACAACCCTCTGTCACATGGTTCACATTAATTTAAGAAGAATAGTTCCACCACTTTAATATCCTCTGTCACATTGCAACAAGGTGCAATCAAGTATCATTATTTTAATGATCTAAAAGATGTGTGCAGATCCACGCTCAGTTTCATGCACAATACCATGCATTAGCATGCAGAGAGCTTTACATGTTATAAATCCTATTCAATTATCTGACCCACTGGCTCTCAACAACATTGCACTGACACACACATTTCAAGCCTTGGCTAATGAGGTGATGACCTGAAACATGTGTTTGATTTAGGAGACATGCAAAATACATGTTGGGGGGTTTTAGGATAGTAGTAAAGAACCATCTATCTAACCGAGAACTCAAGTGTTATTTGTGTTTGTTAAGGCTAAAAGGGGAGGCAATGAATTATTGAAACTGTAGTCACATCCTGTAAGAAAAATTTCATTATGAGAAGTCACACAGAGTACTGCTAAAGAGTGTGTTTGGTTATGAACTTGAATCAATGTGGGAAGCAAAGACTTTAAAGCTTAAGGCGAGATAATGTATGCAGAATGAAAATATAAAACATAAAAACTAAAATATTAAAACATTGGATACAATAAGCTCACTCTTATGCACTCATTTATGCAGTCCACCCGATTTATAGTATAAAAGCTGTCTTCTTTTATGCTTCACAGAATAGAGTAATTGGTAAGGTAAAAATACCTCCAGTGTGAAAGTGCCCTTGCTGAAAATTCAGTATGCACTAAAAAGATATGAAAGAGATGAGAGAAATGAGGTGTGCGAGTTCAAGTTGGTTTATGAGTTGACAGCACATTACAGATGTTTTTTTAAATTGAATTTTTAGTATAATGCTAGAAACTAAATGCTGAACCATATTAGATCGTGCTCTTTGGACAGAGATGTCAGATTGTAAGACAGATGGTGTATATATATATATATATATATATATATATATATACCATCTGTCATGTAATCTGACATCTCTGTCCAAAGAGCACGATTTAATATGCTTATATAATATATATGCATTATATGCTAATAATACATATTTTATATATATTATCAGCCCCCTTTTGAATGTTTCTTTCTTTTTTAACTATTTCCCAAACGGTGCTTAACAGAGCAAGGAAATTTTCACTGTATGTCTCATAATATTTTTTCTTTTGGAGAAAGTCTTATTTGTACTACTACAGCCGGAATAAAAGCAGTTTTAAATTTTTTTAAACCATTTTAGGGTCAAAATTATTAGCCCCTTTAGCCTATATTTTTTGGATAGTCTACAGAACAAACCATCATTATACAATAACTTGCCTAATTACCCTAACCTGCCTAGTTTACCCAAATAACCTAGTTAAGCTTTTAAATGTCAGTTTAAGCTGTATAGAAGTGTCTTGAAAAATATCTAGTAAAATATTATTGACTGTCATCATGGCAATAAAATAAATCAGTTATTCAAAATTAGTTATTAAAACTATTATGTTTAGAAATGTGTTGAAAAAATCTGCTCTCCGTTAAACAGAAATTGGGGGAAAAATGAATGAATGAATGAAAAATAATAATAATACCAATAATAATAATAATAATACCAATAATAAAAATAATAATAATAATAACAACAATATTAATAATACTACCAATAATAATAATAACAACAACAACAATTAAATTAGTAATATAAAATGTAAAGGTACCACATTGCCATCCTGTAAAACCTGAAACATTAGCAGCATATTATATATGCTACATTTCTAACATCTGTGGTTTCTTTCTTTTAGATACATTTTTACACTGCATATTTCTTCCTCTGATTTGAAAAGACATATAAATCATTAGAGAGTATAATGGCACAGAATGTGGCTAAAACAGAAATCACAGAGCTGCTAATGCGCTTTAATGGCAGTCTTAGTCATGATCATTTATAAAGTATGTTGTATTTGAATTGGGCAGCATTATCCACACCTAACCCGCCTGCATTGTGCTCCCGCTTCATTATCTGACTTAATAACATTTAATCCCCTTACATATTTTTTCCCTCCATGAGGTTCAGTTGTAGTGCATACAATGCAGATTTGCTTTTAAAACAAAAAATTTTGCCAGGAACAAGTAAAATAATTTGCATACTGTATATTACTAATCCAATTAATCCGGCTTTCTCAGGATTATAAAGCAATATTGGAAGTGTGCTGACATTGCTTATGCGTGCTGCACTGAGTACCTCATGCTTTCTTGGTGCCAGTCAGGAGTTCACATCTACTTAATAGCTCAATAACACTCATCCATAACGCATGAAGACTCGCACATACTGGAGGGATGGCAAGAGACGGGATCTGACAAGATTAACAACGTTTTGTCAATTTGCAAAGCTGCTCACAGGTTGCTTGGTATTTTTGTCCCTTTGTGGCTCTGTGCTGGCTTTAAGGGGAATGTAAGCGGAGACAACTGAGCATCTATGATAAACTGTGGACAAGACCGCTCTTTCAAAAGCAGCTTGTGGGAATAACTTATTCTTCATTCAATAACTCTGCTGAGAAGGTTTGAAATAGAAAACTATATTAAACAGAGATTCTTAAGAGAATTTGCGGCTGTATTTATTTCAAAGCCCACTATGTGTAATAGGTTTCATATAAATTCAATTTCTCATTCAGTCTGAAGATTTGTATTAAAGCTGAATTATAAGTCTGCACATATAAGCATCTATTTTCAGGCTACCATGGTATCATTTAAAAAGTTTTCTCACCCATGCTGTGAGCACATGGGAATAGCAAATATAAGCTGAAGTCAGCTAATCCTACCACCTACTTTTTCAATAACATCATCAGAAAAAGCATCAACTTATGCGAAAAGCTTTCTAAGAATAAACTCACTTTATTGTATGTGTGTGTGTGTGTGTGTGTGTGTGTATTCAGTAATTTCATTGGTGTATACAGTAATGTGTGAAAAACATGTAGTAAAGTGGTTAAATGAAAACAAGTGTTACAGTAGACACTTTAATATTTATCTTATTCTTTATCTCACACATGCAGTTCCATGAGAGAAGAAATATTTAGCAAGTGAGCCTAATCCAGTCTGGCACATCTTGTGGGAAGCGCTCTATTATTTGAAAAATTCTAGTAATATTTTTAATAATACAATTACATCCTAGAGCACCTTTTAAAAATGTCTTTTGCAAGGTCTCTAAAGACAGATCACACAAAAAACAGGGACAATTTCACTCAAAAACGTTGAGCTGACAATGCACTGTTTGACCAAGTCACTGAATCCACACTTATCTTTGTTATATATAATTATTAAAATCACTAAAACACACATTATTTTAAAGTCACAATTAATGTGCAAGAAAAGCTAATTTTTGCCTTTTTATGCAGTGATGATAATTCTATTTTCTGACTAATTATAAACAGTCACCGTGGTGATGGCATGTCACGGGAACATTAACTGAATCTGCAAGGTGCTCCAAACAGGCCAACTAGTAACAGCACACAATCCTTTGAATAATTAAGCACATGAGAAGTATTGTGTCACTTATGTAAACCATCGATTATTCAGTTTTTTAATTACTGTCTCCACACATTAATGTATAGATGTTTAATAGCTATAATATCAATATAACTATTTATTATCTACGACAGACAGACAGACAGACAGACAGACAGACAGACATAGATAGATAGATAGATAGATAGATAGATAGATAGATAGATAGATAGATAGATAGATAGATAGATAGAAAGATAGAGAAGGGTAACAAATAATGCCCTCAAACAACTTGTAAAGGTGTCATATCATCATTCAGATCTCACGCGCTTGATGAATTGTTTTGATTTTTAACCTATAATATAGCTATGTATTTACCCTTGTAGCTTTTTGACTTGCACTGGGATGTGCTGTCCCCTGCTGGCTTGAGGAACAATGACCCACCATAGCCTATGCCGATGGTCTAGGCTACTGAAGGTGAACGCGTTGTACATCATCATACAGTCGAAATGAAGACACGAACTTCAGCTCGAAACAGAAGTGTGCTCTTATTGAAACTCACTGATTTAATCAAGAGCGCACTTCAAAGACTAAAAAAAAACTGACGTTAACGACTTAATAGCATGATTAAAGATAAGTAAAGTATGCAAACCTAGAACGCAATTTAATTACGATAATAACATATAAAATTGCATTATTTTATATTAACGCTTAAAATATATAATCTCTTACTGTATTATATTATTGTAGTGGCAAATGATTAAATTGACTTCAAATTCAAACTCACATCAGCTGAAGTAGCCTAAATAAAATAAATGTTGATTAATCTTTCATACTGTAATAAATTTCATGTCACGTAATCCTTCGAAATAACACAAACAATGCAAAAATCTCTTACCTTTTATTAGACAAACCTTCCCGGACTTGGTTTACAATAGTTTTTCGCTTCTTTCAGGTAAATTTTGCTCACAGCAAGGAAAGATCCACAACAGATGTGCACACTGGTGTCTTTTTTTCGTAGTAAACTTGTGCTGTTTACCCGCTGCGCGCTGTTTAGTAAACTGCTTCTAGTGCTGCGCGCGCCGCGCTCCTACTGTTAAAACCAGACGAAGAGATTCCCGCTCTGCTGCTGCTGCTGCTGAGAGAAGAACAGAGGAGGAGAAACAAACTACACACGAGCTGCGACTTCACTCAAGGCTCTACAGATGAGGTGGCACTGGCGATCAGCCGTCCACATTCCGTCTACGGAGGAAAAATATCCATGCTCCCTCCTGCAAACTCATTTTAAAAAATGAATGATCACCATGGTAACTTTAATAGACCCTCGTGGACTTTCTTCTTTAATAGACCCACCAATTTAACAAATTATATTAGATTTATATAATAGCCTACAGTGAAGTTTTTTTTAGGTTTCATAATATTATTCATATATTCAGATGGTATTTTGTGACTTAGCCTATTGAAATAGCTGACTCTGGGATTAAATCTGTTATTATTATTATTATTATTATTATTATTATTACCTATATGAATTTCATTCTTTTTAAGACACATTCAAATGTTTCAAAGTTTTAGTCCATCCAACAATGAAAATTCTGTCATTTCATCCCTTATGCCATTCCAATAGGATTATTGTTAAATTAAGGTACTTTAGTCAAAATCTGAATCTATCTATCTATCTATCTATCTATCTATCTATCTATCTATCTATCTATCTGTCTGTCTGTCTGTCTGTCTGTCTGTCTGTCTGTCTGTCTGTCTGTCTGTCTGTCTGTCTGTCTGTCTGTCTGTCTGTCTGTCTATCTGTCTGTCTGTCTGTCTGTCTGTTTGTGGTAAAAGGGATAATAAATAATGGTTGTATTGATATTATAGCTAATAAACATTTATCAAGTAATTTGTGAAGACAGTAAAAAAAATTTAAAGTTCATAATCAGTTGCGCACAAATTGTCCACAGTACATCTTTCTCTCCTTATGTCTGTCTATTTACTTTGAACCAATTATTCAAAATGCAAAATACTCATAGTGAAACATCCCTTTACCAATGATCTTCACTCTTATGGTCATGGTCAACTGTATGAGTGCCTTATCATTCATTTCTAATAACTGATTTTTTTTTGCCATGATGACAGTAAATAATATTTTTAGATATTTTTCAAAACACTTCTATGCAGCTTAAAGTGACATTTAAAGGCTTAACTTGGTTAATTAGGTTAACTAGGCAGGTTAGGGTAATTAGGCAAGTTATTGTACAACGATGGTGTGTTCTGTAGACTATCGAAATAATTATATAGCTCAAAGGTGCTAATAATTTTGACCTTAAATTCATAACTGCTTTTATTCTAGCCGAAATAAAACAAATAAGACTTTCTCCAGAAGAAAAAAAATATTATCAGACATACTGTGAATCATTAAGCAAATATAATAGATTAAGGATAAAAGTTAAATATACATCTTTTTTTGTTTTCTAGGAAATTCAGGTAATTAATGAAAAACAGTGCTAGTATAAATAAGTTGGTCTGGAGTTCAGACATATAGGCTAACTTATTCATCACATTATCCCTTCCATTTAGTATCTCTTGCCTGATGTATAGCTCAGTCACTATTATTCTGCTTTGTCTTTGATTTTTTGAGGCTGCCATTTAACAACCAGTTACTCGGCGGATGTCTTTCCAGCCACAATTCAGCACTTTGAAACACCCATACACAAGCTGATTCACGCATACACACACATGCATTACAGCCAATTTAGTTGATCGTTTATTCATTCACTTTCCTTCATCTTAGTCTCTTTATTCATCAAGGGTCAACACAGCGGAATGAGCCACCAACTTATCCAGCATACAGTATGCTTTACACAGCAGAAGCCCTTCCAGTTGCAACCCAGAACTGGGAAACACCCATACAATCTCAAATACACACACATACACTACTGCCAATTTATTCAATTCACCTATAGTGCATGTCTTTGGTTTGTGGGGGAAATCGGAGCACCAGGAGGAAACCAACGCGAAGACAGGTTTAAGACCCAGCTGGGACTCAAACCAGAGACCTTCTTGCTGTGAGGCGACCATGCTAACCACTGAGCCGCCATGTTGCCCCTAATTTAGTTGATCCAATTCATCTATAGCACAAATCTTTGAACTGAGAGGAAAAATCTGGATAAAACTCATGCAAATACATGGAGAACAGGCAAACTCCACACAGAAATGCTTCCTGGCCCAGCAACCTTCTTGCTATGAGGTTGAGGTGACAGCGCCTGATTATTAGAGGAATCAGATTGTGTGTATATAGAGGTAGAAAAGTCCAATTTGTTGACATTCTCATGCTAACTATTATAAATATATATAAAAGAAACAGCTGAAGGTTTTTCTACAAGAGTGAAAATGCACTGTAAATTATGTGCTTTGTTGGAGCTTTCAAAAAGTTTTTTCTACAGCCCATCAAGTACGTCCTGTGTCATTTTTAAGGACAAATATTCTAGAGGACTGATATTTTGTAGTACACAGTCTCAAACGCACACCTTCGTTTTTCTTTCCTGCCTTACTCATTTCACACAATACCCAGCAAGCTTGGACAAGAAAATATGCACAATCTGCTTCCAAACCCACATAAAACATATGCTAATTCTTTGCAGAACAGTTCTGCAGGCTGGAATACTGCCACTTGTGTATGTGCCTCACATGTTCTTTTAAAACATCAAAATCAGACATTGCCCTTTTCCCTGCTATATATGGAATGTATTTCGATTCTGAAATCAGAATATTTTCACCAAAAGCACACATACTGTATACAATAACACCAACGTTTACATTATATATAGAAGAAAGAAAGAAAGAAAGAAAGAAAGAAAAAAAGAAAGAAAGAAACAAAGAAAATGTCTTCCTCTTGTTAAAATGTATTAGTCCATGACTCTCATGTCCTTTTCTCTATTTGCAGTGTCTTCACAGTGTTTGCTAGTACTGTGAAAATTCCTTTTTTCACTTTAGACATCCTGAATTGTTTCTCAATGCCACCCACTTGCAACTAACTACACTGAATTTTCACTACTTTAGTTTTTACTGAATTTTTGAACATTTTTTTGCTTCTCTTGATTTTCCACCTTAGAATTTTAAAGTTCTTCATTTTTGTCAAAATTGAGTTATTGACATATTCTTATTAAATGACATCTTATCTACATTGTTTTTTTGTAAGTTGTTTACATTTTAGGACTTTTTATTTAAAAAACAAATGTTACACACATACTGTTTGCTATGGAATGCAAAAACTTGAAAGCTCAATATCTCAAAATCATTCAGAACACAGATAGAACCTAGTTATAGGCAAGTTATAGAAAGAAGTCCAAGGTGACGATTTTTCTATAACATATAAATTTGGGTGTTCTCGTTTATGGACCTTTCTCATTAGTTATTTTGTTAGATAAGCTCCAGGTTTGGCTTCAGTACTGACTAATGTTTATGCACAAATATAATATTGTATAGGTTTCTATTAAAAATATTATTTTAAAAGATAAATTTGTGAGGGGTACTTATTTATGCTGAGCACTGTATCATAAAATGTCTCTGGAAACAGCCTAGACAGTAATTAAAGTGCTGTTTGTGGATGAAGAGGAAGAACAAAAAGTGTCTTGGCAGAACATGTCTATTATGGTTTGTACTTTCACCAGACACAGGAAAATTGTCCCAGGGACTGGAAATGGCAGATTGTGCAGAGATCCATGAGGCAATCCAGTATCTATTAATAGGATGGTTAAGAGACTGTGGATATATAGAGGTGGATATATACAGTATATATAGTGGATATATTAATGTCTACCCCTACCCCAACCCTAAACCCAGCCGCCACAGTAATGTAAAAACAGATCTGGATCTGGAGTCTTCTCTATTAGTATAGCAGATTAACCATGATAATTATTTATATTACTTATTAAATTTCCATTAATTGTATTTTATTAACGTCTACCCCAACCCTAAACGTCACAGTAATGTAAAAACAGATCTGCATCTGGAGTCTTCTCTAGTATAGCTGATTAACCATGTGGATGGATGATAACAGCCTTTTGAGGCAACCAGTAGGTGCAGAAGGCCCCTAGTGGCCCATATCTATCAGCTGATAACCACAGGTAACGCCCATTTAATCAAGTGATAACATTCGAAGCTAGTGTTTTTGGATGGGACTTCATCAATGAAACAAGTCAAGATTGAAGAGGGGAACAGAAACACTAGTTTAGAGAAAGGTATCTGTTTGATTCTAGGCACAGACACGGTATAATGATCAGCTGCAGAATTAATTTGAATCACCAGTTTGTGATTCATGCTCTGCAAAAAACACTTTGAAAACCTACTCCTAACTTGGGGGAGAAATGCAATTAAATAGCCAGGGCTTATTGAGCATCACATTATAAAAGAGAACAGATTTTTGCAGAAGGAAAAGAGAAAAAGTTCAATGATAAAGACTCCTATAATAATGCAGGAAAAGTGATGACAATGTTTTTGCTGAAGACTTTTGTGCTGAAGTGAGATTTGTTAATTGAAGAACGTTAGTCACAACATAACATAAAAATGGTCTAATAGCATATAGTCAGTGATTCAGAAGCCAGAGGCTCAAAAAGATTGTTCCACTTTTTTATATTTACATTTGAAGAGTTCAGATACAAAAACTTTTAAGTGCCGTTTGAAATTTCCATATAAAAAAAAAGATTCTCAGCCTTCTTTGCTTTGTTGAGATATTTCACTTTAAAGTACAGGAAAAGGACTTATTCTTTCCCATAAAAGTGATATTACTGAACATACACACAGGAGCCTGACAAAAATGCTCATTTTAGAGGAACATTTCAGACGGCATTTAGAGTTTTTTTGAATCCCAACTTTTTAGCTGTTTTCTTCTCATCTTAGTCAAAGAAAATGAAGACAATATTTAGCAAAGTTTTCATTTTTTTAAACCACATTTAGTCTCGTTTTTATACAGCAACAATAATGCATCATATTTTTATAAAATATATAAATATAAAATTCTGTTATAGTCATCACGATGTGATCAGCATTTTCACCATGTCTTAAGATAAATTAATGAAAATATTTAGTCATTTTTTTCATTGACGAAAGTGACACTACTCTTAAATTCAAAAAGTCCTATTTTTATTTTCAAAGACATTTGTGCTACTGAAAATACAGCAACATCTTGCATCTATGATGAGTTCCAAAGCAAATACCAAACTTTATTAGAAATCA